AAAAAAAAAAAAAAAAGCCCACTGATCACATGATTTATAGTTGTTTTTCCAATAGTAGCACGGATGATTTTAGGCAATTCCAATCACTCCCTCATGCCTTGGTTTTCTGTGGCCAATACATCTACTCATTAAGTTAGTATTACCAGTGACCCTGGATAAGACTGACACTCCCCATGCATGGATCTTCAGCCTTGACTTCAACAGCATCATACACTTGATCATCAAATGAATGAATCACCCACTGACCTAAACAAGAGTTACATAAATGAACAATAAATAACACGCCATTCCACATCCCGCGCCCCCCCATAGGTATTAGTAAAATGCCACACAATGGCATATTTCATTCATTCCTAACAGGGTATAAACTGAAGCAAAGAGTAAACCAGTGACCTGCCCAAATAATCTGGTGAGTAGTAAAATTAGTTGATAAACCTAGGAATTCTTCCTTAACCCCCTGTTCTAAAACTATATTTGCTTCACCTAGGTGAGATTTGGAGACTTTTGCACTAAGAAAATTCATTTTCCTTCCAAGACTGGCCTTGTCATAATACTTTGTCCATAGATGTTGTTGCTGTTAAGTGCTGTCAAGTCAGTTCCGACCCTCTGCCACCCTGTATAGGGTTTCCAAGGGGCAGCTGGTGAGTTTGAACCACCAATCTTGTGGTTCACCGACTTTGCAATCCAGCGCATTAACCCACAGCGCCACGCCAGGACTCCACTTAGTCCATAGAAAGTGGCACTATTTCAAGAAAGGAAGAGAAGAAAGTCATCAATGGACTAAAAGGGAATAACTTTGAAAGGCTTAACAAAAACTAGCCTCATCACCAGAGACCAATCACACATATTCTTTAGACTCTTTGGTTCTAGTTTGCAGTATGGAGAGCAGAGCTGAAACCTAAACTGCCATCTCAAACACAGTGGAATCCACATAGTAATCCCTATGGAATTTAGTCACAGCCTCTCATGCCTATGAGATTAATGTGCACAAAAGCCTTGAGAACTGGCATAGTTTTCCTGGTGGGGCTGAACCTGTACAACAGGACTCAGGAAATCTGCCTACACCGCATTGATCTCCCATTCAAATCCCTAGCTGTATGATTTTTTGTGCAAAAAAGAAAAAAAAAGTGAACATAGCAGGTCTGAACTATCCTTGGATTCCAAGTCTGGTTGCAAGGTTGGTCCTAGGCCAACATCTTGGAACTTAAGATTTCGGGAGGGTTCCCACTATTAACTGGTTAAGAATGGCTCATTGTGCCTTAACTATTTATGTAAACAATAAGGCTTATACTGAACACCTGCTTTCCTGCTGGAGTCTAGAATTTTGGTATGTGCCAGGCAGAGGTGCCTACACAATCAATCCTAATAAAAACTCTGGTCACTGAATCTCTAATGAGCGTCGTCCCTGGTTGGCAACCTCTCGCACTCATCACAAGTCAATGCTGGAGGAAAGAATTCAGCACATTCAAACTTGCCACCTGCTCCTGTGAAGATTACAGCCTATGGAAAACCAGAGTCGCTGAGTAAGAATCGACGGCAGTGGGTTTGGTTTCTTTTGGGTTGTGTGACTCCATTGGAAGATTCTAGAAGCTTGTGCCTGGTTTCCGGTGGACCTTGCCTGGGTACCTTTCTCTCAGTGGAGTTTTCTTTTATATCCTTTTGTCATGATAAAATCATAGCCATGAGTACAACTAAATGCCAAGTCCTGTGAGTCCTAGCAAATGACCAAACCTAGGGCTGGTTTGGGGGATGTAACTGGGATTGGGAAGTTCAGTAAGGACCCCACCACCACTGGTAGTTTCACCCCATCCTTCTAGCCCCCTTTGTTTAAGCATAGGGAAAGTTGCAAGGCTTGGAATGCCAAAGGCATGAATCCTCCTGAAAGTCCTTGAGTTATAGTAAATGGGGTGAATTTATGTAAATTATTACAGTGAAGGCAGGAGTTAGTGTTTGTTGAAGGAGTCACTTCTCCAAAAAACAAGGAAAATATAAAACTAATTTTTCTCAAGCTCCTTTCAAAGTTGTCTGAACTTCAAGCCTCTCAGGGGCTAAAAGGTCACTACAAATGAAAACGTATACAGAAGTGCTTAGATAGTTGACTTATAACAACCACTAACCATTCTCACCGTCTATGGCTGTGTCACTGTAGAGGTTAGTGTTTTAATACTGATCTAGGCTTGGCTCAAACACTGACCACACTGATCAATAAATTTAGCCTTTTGTAACCTTAGTTTGTTATTCTTGTTACAGCCACTATGACAAGCCATCTCTCTGGGAAGCTGGGGCGGGGGGGGGGGGGGTGGGGGGTCGATCTTCTTCTTTCACTTTATCCTTCTACTTTGTGGCTGCAACAATGGGGCTCATACATAACAATCGTGAGGATGGCACAGGACCAGGCAGGGTTTCATACTGCTGTTCATAGGGTCACTATAAGTCAGAGCTGACTTGAGGGCACCTAACAATAAGTTGGTTATAAGTACGAGTCTATAACTGTCATATTTCCCCTGGCTGACTTAACCCGCTCCATTTTCTGCAGCAAGCCTTGGCTAGTGAGTCTTGAGAAGTTCATTATGCTTTAGCTGCCGTTCCTCACTCCGCCTGCTTCTCCAGGCATGGTACTTCTTGATGCTTTTCCTCCATGCAAAGCGCCAGATGCTAAACATGAAACACCAAGACACAGCATACATAGCTACTCCTCCAACCTTCACAAACCACTTGGGTTTGGGTGAGACCATTTCACAGAAAAGGAGGCGAGCTCCTACGCCAATCCGCACTCCAGTGAACAGAGCCACAAAGAGGAAGTCCACCACATCTCCAGTGAAACTATGGTAGTGCCCTGTTTCACGGAGAAACCAGCGCATCTGCAGCAAGGGGTTGGTAATCTCACTTCCAAAGAGCACTGCGTTGACCTCTGTGCCTGACTCTCCAAGCACCAGGGCCATGATGATGCCCAAGATACTCAGTGTGTGGTGAGCCAGCATCAGGGCACCCTCAGACTGGAAGAAGACGCACCAACCCAGGTCAAAGATGAAGTAGCCCAAAGAGAGGCACAGAACATGCACTTGAAGAGGTGTATTGGGCGAGCCTGGAACAAACCAAGACAGATGCAAATTGAGTGGAAATTGAACAGCCTTGTGCAGAGATCCTGCGTTGTTGTCTCGCAAATATTTCTGAATTAAAGGACCAAAGCAATGGCAGGCATATGTTTTTTAATGACAGTCACAAATAGATTAAAACTGGTCTTTACCTAACCAAATGATGTTGCAGACTCCAGGAAATGCTGTTCTAATGAATCAGCCCTCAGCAAGTGACTTAAGCAGTGTCCTCTCTAGGCAACAGCATAAAACCAAGGTATCTGGTTCTTTCAATTAAAATCCTTTGTTGGTTTGGTTTTTAGCCAGTCTATTTTCAAAGTCCTACATCATTTTGGCCTGAACATTAGGCTCATTTTTCAGCTGAGTAAGTTAGGTCATTGGACACTGGTAGAGGCCCCTAAAAGTTAGTATGTTATTTCTAAGGACATAGGGTGCAAGGACCTGACAAGTTCAAGTCTATGAAAAACACTCAGATAAAATATAAAGCTGAAGAGTTACTGTCATCTCAGTTTGACAGTTGTGGGGACAACTCAGAAGCTCAATGTGGGGATATAAGGAAACTCTGTAAAGGGATCTAAGGAATTTGGTCTTCAATCACACTCCAGGGCAAAAGTGTATCATGAAGTAACACTTGTATATCTATTGCTGTTGTTGGTACGTACTGTTGAGTTGGTTCCGACTCATAGTGACCTTGCAGAGGGTTTCAGAGGAGTAGCTAGTGGGTTTGAACTGCTGACCCTGCAATTAGTAGCCCTGTGCTTATCCTACAGTGCCACAGCAGGACCACATACTTGTATATCTAGCAGTTTCAAAATTAATATATGTACCCAAAATAATGAGGCACTGATTAAATCTATAATGGTACACTTAATAAAGTATACTATTATATAACAATGAAAAGATAATAAAGTGCTCAGTTGCTAACCAAAAAGGTTGGTGGTTCAAGCCCATCCACCTGCTCTGCAGATGAAACACCTGGTAATCTGTTCCCATAGAGATTACAGCCAAGAAAACTCTATGGGACAGTTCTACTGTATCACATGGGCTCACTAGGAGTTGGTATCCACTTGAAAACATACAGCGACAACAATATTTACAGACATAGAAGAATGCTCATTAAATATACAATTCAATCAAACTGCAGGTTACCAAAAAGTACTGTATCTGCAGTATCTGGCCCGGGGGTGGAGATGGGGGAGAATCCTTGAGATTGATTTTCTGTTTTGTACATTTCTGATCAGTCAGCTGCTCCTCGGAAACCTCATACTGACTGGGTATCAGAAACCTCATACTGACTGCTTATCAGAAATCTCATACTGAGTGGGTACGTATGAGTCAGAACCCACTCAAAGGCACTTAGCAACAACAAACTGTAACACGCAATCACGCAATTTAAACTTTGTATTAAAAGTATATGATGGGAGAGAGAGGGAAAGAGAGAGTTTTTGCTTAGGGTACATTAATGGTTATGTTAATGGTGGTAAAATGATTTGGAAAAGGAAAGCGAGAATGGTTGTATAACTTGAAGAATGTAAACAACATTATTGAATTGTACATGTAGAAATTGTTCAGATGGCATATACATATATATTTTGTTATGCATATCATTACAATAAAAGACTTTTTATAGGGCAGTTATGACAAACATCAATAATTGATATACATAATATCAGAGTTAACAAGAAAGAAGAATGAAGACTCCCAATGCAAACTAATGTAAACTATTCTTCAGTACTCTACCAATTCTGTTAAGAAAGTCCCTTCTTTCTTTCAACTGTGACTCGAGATGACCCCATGTGTCAGAGTAGAACTTTCAATAGCTGATTTTTCAGACGTAGATGGTCATGACTTCTGAGACATCTCTGGGTGAACTTAAACCTTCAACCTTTCAGTTAGCAGCCAAACACATAATCATTTGTGTCATCCAGAGAAACTCTCCCATTCTTCTAAGACTACCCCAAATCATAAATTCCTAATGGAAAAAAAAAAAAAAAATCCCTTAAGGTACTCCACCTACCTGGGTGGGTAAAAGGCCAAGGGCCATCAATGAAGCCAATATATGCTGAGAGGCCTATAGAGAAGACTCCATGGGTGAACGTAACCAGCCGGCAATTCCACTCATAGCTTCGGTGCTTATTCAGGCGGCAGAATGAAACGTAGAGCGAGAGCCAGCCACAGAGGCTGCACAGCACCTGCAGGCACAGAGCTAATGCCATCCTATGATGAAAAGACCAAAACCAGAAAAACAAAGGCTGTGCCCTACAAAAACAGTATTGGGTCATTTTATGTGTATGTCTTGATTTCTACTACAGAATATTACAAACATTCATCCTTCACTGAAATGATTCTTCCTCATTTACAAAGCTAAGACTCTCCTACTGAAGTATGGATATACTTCTGCAACCATGTTCCTGAGATAACATGACAAGTAGTAAAAGTTATAAATTGCAACCCAGGGACCACATTCTGAACTGGCAGAACAGCATAACATGCTGTTATGATAAATGTCAGTAATAATTTTCCAGTAATGACTGACCTTGGAGAATAATACACAGATATTATATGTACTAGATAATATGTTCACATTTCAAAATTCCTAATGAGACGCACTCATGAAAATAAAAGACCACCACCGTGTGTGGGTGCCGATAGAGGTCACCTGACACATGGCAGTTTATTGTGGCTTTAACCTGATAATTACACTCAGCTGAGGTCTGGATCTGGGTCGGAGGCTTACTAGCTAAAATCGAAGCTCAGGTAAACCTTCAAACCCAACAAAGATTACAGGCATCTTGGAAGGGTGAAAATGTAAGAACAAAATCTGAATTCTATTCAGTTCTGAAATCCAGCTGAAAGATTTACCAAGGGGAAAGCATAAGGATTTTGAGATTGAAGAGGGGAGTTTTGTTGACATAAAGAAATGCCTTTAAGGCAATTATTTGGTTAAAAATGAAACCAAGTCAGAAAGTTATACTTTGACTTTGGAATTTTCACTGGTTGACAAACATATTAGGACAAGAACTATAACTGAGTCAACTTAGCATGCAAAACTAAAATCTAAAAATGAAAGCATGACCAAGAAATTGATAATTTTCACTAGCTTCTCTAGTGAAAGAAAGTATAAATCAAAAAACACTTCAAGTTTATGTCTCATCTCAGCAGGAATTTTCTGCATGAGCACATTTATTGCTTGAAATGGGGTGGCGCTGTAGGATCAGCACTGGACTGCAAATCACAACGTCAGCAGTTCAAACCCACCAGCTGCTTCTCAGAAACCCTACACAAGGTCGCCATGAGTCAGAACCGACTCGACAACATTTAACAACAACCCTATTCTAGTGTGGGAAACAGTATTTATAAACCAATACACCTCAATATGTAAGCCACCTATACTAAATACTACTCAGAGAGTTTTATGAAGTCAAGTTCTGTATAACTTTCCGCTGAAATCAGATTTCTATAAAAGAAACACTCATAAACCTGAGCTCTAATTCTATCTCTGCCTCTAATGAGACCCTCTGATACACACTGCCAAACACCTGACACCATCTTTTAGATCACTTTACCATAATACCAGCCCCAAAATACAAATCAGGTTCATTAACCTCAACACATGATGACACTCCATGAAAATTACAACCACAACTTCCCTGGCATTCACTGATGAACACTGGTCTAAGATGTGCTCAAAGTCATAGATTTTTGTTTTGTTTTTTTACCCCCCCTCCAGTTTCTTCACTTTCTACACTCAGCAGAGCAAAATCACATACAGTCTGCTTTGACTGTCTCTCGGATATGAAAGTATTCCTTTTAACTTACTGAATGATCCTTCACAGCTAGTGATGCAAACTGTGATGTTTTAGGGAAACTACTCCGTGGCACCTCCCTTCGTGGTGCCCACGGCAATGCCATATGTCAGCCTCTGAGAGTGTGGGCAAGTCACTTTAGTCTCTGGAACCTCCGTTTAAATTTTAAAAAGGAAAGAAAAGAGGATTGAAGAACTCTGTGGTTAGGTCCAGTTCTGAGACAGATTTTGTAAAACATCTAGGCCCACTTTCAAAGCAAGGGCCAGAAATGCAAAGTAACCACGAATGAAAAGAATCCTCCTCTTAAGTTTCTTTTACAGACCAGGGCTACCCGCCAGTAATGCGGATCAGCTCACTTGGATATGGCTATTAGGATTTTAGAGTACTCGTCTCTGAATCTTAATTCCTTGGCAAAACAAAAGAAACAATAACCCACTTACAAACACTTAATTTTTTTAAAAAAAGAGAGAGATATGAAAATTAAAGTTATAACTTTGTAACCTTGGAAGTCACTCCATCTCTGGGTTTCGACTTCCTCTTGCTTAACAAAAAAAAACAGAACAAGGTATTTTAACAGCTATTTTAGCTCAAAATTCCAAGACTCCTCTTCTGGCTTCTTCGATTCTTGATCCAGATTTGGGGAAGGAACGCTGGGTGGGCCAACCTGGCTCTTGGTCTCGGAGCAGGCGGGGCTGGCAGCGAGCAGCACAACCTTGGGCGCCTCGTAGGTACCACGACCGCATCTCCACTGGGACATGCCCTACAGACTGTGAGCCACGCCCGACTCCAAAGCCAGACCGTTATCCGGGCATCAGGCCGGGCTCTCGGATCCTAGCGCGGAAAGATCTGCGGGGCCAAAGACAGGAGGATCCTCCTCCCCTTCAGAAGCCAGGCCAGACCATCTCCCTGCCTCCTTCCTCACCAATGCGCTGGGCAAGCCCCGGACACCCGCTCTCGGAGTGCGGGCCCGGTGCCCACTCCCGCCCACAGGAGCTGACCCGGCCGGGCTGTTCGCGCTGCATTGTTACCTGGCTTAATGCTCCAAGAGGCCTCGGGCGCCTGGGCGCCCAGACCTCAGGGCCCGGATCCCGGGAACAGGAAGCCAAGGAACGAGGGAAGAGGAAAAGGCGGTGACGGCATAAGAGGAGGAGCTGAGGGTCTGGGGGCACCTGGTGGCTAGGAGGACCGAGGGCAGAGGCCGAACTGGAAAGCCCTCCTTCCTTCAAGTTGGAGGAGGTGGGAGAGGGAGAGCTGAGGGCACCTAGTAGTGACAAGAGAGCTGCAGGCTGATGTTCTTGTTTGTTATCTGTTTGGTTCGTTCATTATCTATCCTCGCCCCTAGGATGCAGTTACCATTTATTGAGCACCAACGACAAGGCAATGTGGTAGATATAAAGACAGTCCCTGCCCAGCCGTTTGCAATTTAAGTGTGAAACAAGCATACACATGTAACTCTTTCCCAGGAAAGGCCCTGACCTGGGAATTAGATGTTGTTCCTTTTCATTTGGGGCCTGATAACAACTTGACAGTTTAGCATGAGGATTAAGAGTAAACTCAGCTATTGAAGGATTCACTGGTCAAATTATTGAATGATGCAGAAAGCATCAAAAGAAGATGGAAGGAATACACAGTCACTGTACCAAAAGGAAATGGTTGATGTTCAACCGTTTCAAGATTCAAGAGGTAGCATATGGTCAAGAGCCAATGATACTGAAGGAAGAAGTCCAAGATGCATTGAAGGAATTGGCAAAGAACAAGGCACCAGGAATTGATGGAATAAAAATGGAAA